CAATTGTAAATAACGATAATAATTGGTAAAGTTGTTAAAAAAAAGATCATTGAAAATGTGGCAGTGTACAACGTTATCCATGTAAGTAAGTGATATGAAAATACACAACAATATCATAAATTCGTAAAATTTCCTTAATACTGACATGTACTAAAATACAAAATTAAAGGGATATTAGTATAATTTAAGAAAACTGCTACATCATAGTCAACTTATTAAAATTATTAAAACAAAAAATGCATTTACACTGAACCTCTATTTCCTACAATCATTTTAGTCGATTTTCCTTTGCACAAACATCCGCAGTCTATTTTTATCTAATCGATACGATATCGTTCTATTTAAGGTGACAATAGAATGAATAAAATGATTACCATCTTTTTAGAATTTGAAAACACTTTAATGCGGAAAGCATTTCGAAAGTCAGTCTTAAAGTATATCTCATAAAAAATTCACTCTCCGAGAAGCTGTCAGGTAATTGACATTTAAAGGGTTAAATACGTAAAAAGCGTTCGAACTCTTAATAAGTTGAGATAGTTAATGCGAAACTCGAAAAAGTTTCACGTCGAAAGCTTCTTAAGATGTACTTTAATAAGAATGCAGTTTCTATTCAATATGTACTTACTCGGGAAAACTTGACCCAACTCTGGCAACATTAACCCTATCTAAATATTCAATGATCTTTTTCCAGGTTGCGGTAGCATAGCGCCGAAATCCACGTGGGGTAAAATCGCAACCATGGGTTACGCCAGTCTTGGGATCCCGTTGATTGTGGTCTACCTATCGAGTGCCGGAGGTCTATTATCCAGGTGTGCCAGGGGTGTCTTTACCCGTGCACTTTGCTGCTGCCTTTGTTCGAATTGCGGCTATTGTTGCTACGATGAAAGAAGAATGGAGGTGAGCGAGAAAAACAGTACTTGATGTAACAATTATCGTGAAATATTCTAACGACTGACAATAGCGGTGAAAAAAGAAAACAACAGCGATTTCAGTCATTAGAGATAAATGATGCAGAAACAGAACAAAGAATATCCAATTACAGAAAAGTAACACACATTCGGCTTTTATTACCGTTTCTTATCAAGTTTTGTACTCCAACTTTCTAAATTTTCGTTTCAATTAAATCACGAAAATAGTCATTAATTCGGCAGTTGTTAAATTTTTCATTAAATACGCTCTCGTTTGACCATACAGAAGCTCGGATTTAATAATGCCAAATCTAGAAACACTTAAAAGATTTGAATTACTATCACATTTTATAAACATGATATTTATGTGCAACACGTGAAAAATTAAAATACATATGATTATTTGAACGAAAATTTGTGTCACTACTTAAAGTACACATTCAGTTTTTTAACTTACGATTTAGCACTTTTCTATGCATCGATTTAAATTCTATGAATTAATAACATTTTTATCGCGGTTGACATACATACACCTTGTTAACAATTTGTTAACTAATTAATTATTATAGCACTTATTTCCTATTACAATTAGAAAAGCATAGAGAAAGACCTTGCGTACAAATGCATTTCAAAAATAATCTTACGCGTGTAAACCAGTTGCACAAAAAGACAAAAATTTTTTTTTCAATCCACAATTAAATATTTTTTTAACACAATTTTTATATTTTTAAAACATTTTTGAAAGTTGTAATAAAACATCCAATGTCCTATTAATGTCGAAGAAATTTAAAATAATAACCGTGTATCCTGTGCATGTAAATTCCTTGAGCACACGTACGTGTTAAACGCAAGAAAAGATGTACGATGTTCAATTCTCATGAGTCCGGTAGATAGGAGATATATTTCTGTTGTATGGTAAAATATGAATATCTTTAATATTATACAGAGTGAATATAAAGTGTGGTACAAAAGAAGAGTGGTCTTACATTTCTCAGAGGTACAATAACCGACAAATACATTGAGCAAATAGGGAAATAAATATTTTGAAATGCATGAAATATTACTGTTCACCATTTATTATTTGTACAATGATAGAAGGTACATCATATTTACCTATAGGTAAACAGTTATATATACAGTTATATATACAGTTATCAAAAATAAAACAATTGGTAATAGAAATAAATGCGAACAAGTATTCTCCACAGTACTACGATTTTTAACTTAATTTTGTACATTTTACACAATTTTTAATTTTCCTTGCGTAATAATTTTTTACGACTTTTTGTTTAATGGATTCCATGCACCTAAGAGAACAAAATTATGTTTACATGGATGTAACTATACTTGAAGAATTATTCCTAAAAATTCTACCAAGAAAATCGTAAATGCGATTCTGTGTTAATACTAAAAATTGTTATGTTTGACAATGAATATAAACACTTTTCTCAGAGTAACAGTTCTCGTCAAATAAGTCAATTTAATGATATCAGTATCTTGTCTAAGCTGTATCTAGCCCATATTTCAGACTTTTTAAAAATTAAATGTAAAATGAAAAGATAAGAATCCACAATTTAAAAAATACAATCCTACTTTTAACGCCCTTAGATGCATGCAAGCTCCGAATAGTTGCATGTCATATTTTCGTTGACGGCTTTGCGAAACCGAACGCGAAGTTTAGTATTTCCCATCGATCTTGTTCACATAGATTTTGAAAGATAACTCGCGAAGCAGAACGAGAAAGCGATGGCACTTCCTTCGTAGATCGATCTTAAAATTGCTTTTAAATTGACATGGGCCCAGGAGAAGGAGAGACGAATGAGAAAGAAAAGGCAACAGGAAGAACTGGCTCAGCAGCAACAGCAATTGCAGTTACAGGAGCCCTTTTATGTCCGCGCAAATGCGTCAACGTTCACGAGCACAGTGGAAATTAAGGCCAGCCCAAAGGACGAAGTGTCGAGTCTTGGCTCCGGTGACAGGCCAAACGTTACTATACTCGCACCAATCAGCATTTGTCTCAGCGCAATGCTCTGCTACATCGTGGCAGGCGCTTTTACTCTGCACAAGTTGGACGACTGGTCCTTTGTGGGTACGTTGCAAAAGAGATTCCAGATTTTTCCCAGATGAGTCGCATTCTCTCGAAAGCCTAAAACGTATCACGCGTGATCATAGCGTATTCCATGATGTGCATAGAAAACTATCGGAAATTATTTAACGCGCTCAACGTGCCGCGAAAGCACATTTCCAATTTAAAAGGAAAAACACGTAATATTTGATAAAATTGTATAACACAAAATTATTCTAGAATATTTTCAATTACTATCTCTATGGATTGTTTCACTTAATTAGAACAGTTTGAAAAACATAGTTTAACGTGTATAACTTTTCCAATTAAACTTTCAACTTTCATGCACATATCTAATACCGGTGGTCTTACGTTGATGTCAGTTATGCTATTCTATATATTATGATTTTTTTAAAGAAATGCAAGTCCTAAACATTCGACCGACATAACGGAAAACGTTTAAACTGTGTATGTGTATCAGTATAATATTACAAAACCCGTAAGTTCTTCATTATCTTTGCCAATATCGTGTGTTATCTTTGACACCTGCATGCTACTAATTTGTGCTAGAACTTTTAGAAAACTTCGAAAGTTGGTCTGTTTAACCCTTTAAGTGTTCAAACCGAAGATAACCACATTGTTTAATTTGTGGTATTTATGAAAGATTCGATCTATCTTGATCTTTATGCAGGGTAACCCCGAACTCTCGTTACACTGGGAAAAAAGTGATTCCTGAAGTGTTTTAAAGTAACTTTTCTCATTTGCGACATATTAACGGAAACACGAATCAATCACAGAGCGTGTACGTCTGAGGCGTTCCCGCGCGATAGCAAGCGCTACGCGTCATTAGCAGCGAGGGCGGGCGTCGGTCACCCCCTCATCAGCTCGCTCTCTGATTGGTCCGTGTTTTTCGTTGATAACTCGTAAACGAAGCCACGGAGAATATTTTCGCCAAGGAAAAAGTGACTTCAAATCGCCTCAGGAATCATTTTCTGGACGTAACGGAAGTTCTGAGACATCCTGCTTAACTTATGAAATGACTGTAATTTGATTGACATTCGTCTAATAAATACGAATACAACATAAAATCATAAAAATGCCATCGAATGTAGATATTTCATCTACTATACTTTCTCATTTTAGTGACCACTGGAAGGGTTAAATAACAAGATAAAAACGCCGAAATTGACGCGGCACATCCTCATTTGAAATTACGTGAGCAATGAAAGCGTTACATTGCGCATCTAAACGTTCTGTTTCATGTTTTGATCGCAGATGCAAGCTACTTCTGCTTCATGAGCCTGAGCACGATCGGGTTCGGCGATATGGTTCCCGGTTCCTACCCCCGTCAAAACCTTTACGAGTCGAGGAACGTAACCATTTGGTTTTGCTCCTGCTACATAATGTCCGGAATGGCACTCACCGCGATGTGCTTCAACATCCTCCATGACGAGATCGTCCATAGACTCAGCCATCAGGTGGAAAAGCCGGAGCCGATGAAGGCCAGCCCGAGCGTGGACGAGCTTTCGACGGATCCTTTCGCGTTGACCTCGTGACAATTTCCGTCTGGCAACCTGTGCCACAGGAACGGCACCGACGAGAACGACATATGCGGAACAGAACCACCTACCAGTCTGTTCGCCCACGAGAACGAAATCAATATCTTGAAGGACTCTTTCAATCAGGTAGACGTCACTAGAGACTGCAAGCCGATCTTGAAGCTCGAGGATCACGTGCCGTCGATTCCTAGTGTTTACATGTTGCCGAAAGTCGACGAAGAGGCCGAGGAGAACACCGAGATGTAAAACTTTACCCTTTCTTGTAGCTCGAACAAGTATGCTTGATCTAGGTAACGATGTGAAAGGTAACCTGGCGGATAGAATGACCCTGGGTTAATAGGTATATACTGCACGTAACGCAAGATATATGTATGTTAAAAATAGTGGAATACTCGTTCTATTATTATAATGGTATAGCGCGCGCTTCGACGTATAGTAAAATCGATGAAACGTCATTCGATTGAATTCATCGTCGACGTTGATTGCAAGAACAATTTCAGTCGAACGTAGTTGCAGCATCCGATGCGTATCTTTTGACGAATTCGTCTTTCGGGCCGAAACTTCATGGGAAAAAAGGACTCTCGTCCTAGAAGGTTAAGGAATTTATGATTTCTCAATATTCGTCGAAATAATAGATATTCGACTAGCGATCGATCGACTGTTTTTCGCGTAGAGTTCTTTGCGACTGAACATTCGCCGCTCCGGAGAAACAATTTCAAGATACAAAAGCAATGTATTTCTCGCGAAATTCGAGAAACGCCGGCGCTCTCGAAGAAAGTACGCGAGTAGAATGTCGTTTCCGAGATTGACAAGAAAGAGTTTCTTTATTTTAGCGAGATGCGATTTTAATGAACATAGTTCGTTTACCAATGAATGTTAAACGAGACAATTTTACTTTTAGGTGAACTTGAGTTTTATGGTGTGGAGGGTATTACTTCGTATAATATAAATATAGCTAGCAAGTACATTTATTTCAGTCAAAAATGACGGTACCCGTGGAAACCGAGAGCTAAAAAAAAAAGTCTTATGCATGCAGTGCTATTTTACTCATTTGGTACCGTGTCTGATAAGTCCAGTAATGGTACCATAGAAGATCCAGCAACAAGTAGGGCATCTTAAGGTGCACGAATTCTATCCTAAATGCTCTACGAATTCCCAGAACTGACTGCGAACGTTTCTGCTTTAATCCTTGGGCTTAATGAACATCGTTGCACGCATCACTTTTTTGTTTGGGATCGATGACGATACGTTTCTCAAAAGTGAGTTCAACAGCCATTGTAGTTATCTTTACTCGGAACTCGGAAACGGCATACTGACTTGCATAGAAACAGACTCACTGTTTTTACATGCCTACATACATACATTAAACTTGTAATTCCATATTTAAGCACTCACAAGAAAAAAGGAAACATTCTTACTTGTAATATAACCGAATGAATTTTTGCGTCTAGTCCGCGAGATGGAACATTTCAACGTAATAAAATGCGCGTACGTATGCGTATACACGTGTACCATTGTTTCTCATATTCTACACATCGATAATCCTCGTGCAAACGATTTTATTCAGATATTCTACCACTGCCGTAAACAAAAAAAAATAAAAGTATTACCTGCATGAATTTTAACGTATAAGTACCTATAAATCTAAATATCGTAACGAATGGATTTTTGTCGGAGATGGGACTTAAGTAAGCTTTTATACCAGTAATCTGTAAAAGTTCAATTTTTTAAGGAAACTTCAACTTTTGTACATATCTACTTTTATTATCGATTTCTACCGGAAACTTTTTATATTCTATAAAACTTTTAAAACAATTGTTTGTATTATAAGTTCGCGGATCGCGTAATAATAACTTGACCGATAATCAATTATACAATTATGGGAATGTAACGGGATTATTCCTAATATAAATATTCCACCGGGCCATCGACTAGACGCAGAAATTACCTGCGACAAACGAAATCACATTCCACTACTGTGCTCAAGAACAATAACTAAAATACTGTTAAAAAATAAGCACTAATCTTTAAGAATGTTGCATATGAAACTACCCCATATTGTTTAATATTGATATTTGTCATAGACTACGAGATTATGGAGTGCGTAATTGTATAGCCTGTTACAGTTAGCTGTAAAATACAGTTGTCCTCGTCGAGTACAATGCAGATCACATAAATTGCAGAGAACTTGCGTGACGTTCCTTTGTTAAATTGTAACAACACCATTGTAATTGATTCCCTGCAGTCGCACTTACGTGTACTTTTCGTTAACCCCTGCACGGCGTACCGTCTGACAACCGACAGCGGGACGGTACTAGGTAGAAAGCGGATAACTTGAGACGCCTTGCGACACTCGTCTGTTTGTAAACACGGATCCGAGTGAACCCTGAATCCGCCAGGCGTGGGTTAACTTTCCTTCTCTTCGTCAACAACTTTTCAAATACTATTTAGACGAAACGAAGAATGTTCGTTTAATTGCTGGTATTTTTACTACAGCAAAATCCAATAACAGACACCGTTCACGTAATGCAAACAGCAACTTATAAAGTTTTCATTCGCAATCGATAAGCTTTACGAAATAAACGAACATTTTCGAAGCGATATTCGTTTATTTTTGTAAATTTGTTCGTATTACACAGAAATCGGACTGGAATATATTGCCAAATTCGGAGTAACACCTCGAAATATATGTCAATGAAAATATGACTTTTATACGTCAATTGTTTTTTTGTATGCTCGTTCTCATTCTTCGGCGACGCAATAAAAATTGGATACCAGCTATTCTATATTGAATTGAAACAAATCTATCTCTTTATCAATAAAGGATAAATGACTATCCCGAAAACAGTTATTCTGCAATCCTGAAATATTGTGGCATCTGCTCGGTACGTCCGACGAAAAAAACCGTATGCAAGTAGTAGTGTTTTAGAAGTGACCTTTTTCTGTTTCCTGTAACATATCATAAGATGTAAGCGAACGAAATGCTGAGATCTTTTCGCATTAAAATGAAAAAGAGGAAGAAGAAGAAGAAGAAGAGGAAGAAAAAGACGAAATAGGTGACCGATGAACGATCGACGCAATCCCAATCTTTGGATCGCTGGCATCGGGGCCATTGGTTCCGGCTGTGCAGCAAAATTGGCAAGCGAGTTTCGTACGGTGTCTAATAACAATCGATATTAGCTTGAGCAGTTGCTAGAGTTATCGTTATCACTCCGTTGGTGATTCGGTGGAGGATCGTGGCCGGTAACCAAGACAAACTTTACTTTGGTACTTGCACCAGCCCATCCAGCCATCGATTCAGCCCAACTGACCGAGCAAACTTCCTCACACTCGTTCGATTCATTGTGAAAGGCCAAACGCGTTTCTAGGTGCCGACGCTTGGACAATTTATAGCGAGCCACGATTATAGTATCCCTGTCAAAAACTACTCCGTCGAACGAATTTTAGTATCTGTTAAAAAAAAAAAATCTCTTTGTTCACCCATTCCATGTAAAAGGATTTTCGATCAACGACGATGGAGATATAGGGTAGCCCATTTGTTGGTTTCTTTTTAAAATTGTCGTAAGAGAAATTCGTTTAATATTTCTCAAAATTTAACGCTTTATTAAAAAGAGTAAACCTTCCGATTAATCACGAAAAATAATTTCAACGACGCAACACGTGCCACACCAGCCGTTAGTCATCCACTCACAATCAGTATGGTAATCGTGTGATCAATCGTTTTGAAAATGTGGCCACCTGGCTGTGGCCAACTGCGATTTTATGCAGTTGGACTTTGTTTTATGAGAAATTGTTAAGGACTGTCGTACTCTGTGTCGTACTCTGATATCAAAACACGATTCAATCGCTTAAAGAAAATGTACATCGAGCTATTCACGAAATATAGCCGCAAACAATCGAAAATGTATTAAAAAATTGAGTCGGTAAGATAGGCTGCTGCCAATTCAGTCGTGGTAATCATTTAAATGAAATTATTTTTCATAATTAATCGGGGTAGGTTTACTTTCTTTCATATAGCAAAAAACTTTGAAAAATATTAAGCGGTCTATTTTCACGGTAATTTTAAAACGAAACCAACTAGAAAACCTCATAGAATAAAATGATCGTTTTCAGAGAAAGTAGAATGTTAATCTAGAAGTATATTTCCTTTTCTGCAAATTATTAAATAAAAAAATTAAATACTAATTTGACGAAACATTTTCTTCTTCTGGGGTCAATGTAATTTTTCTGTAACTATCATTTGTTTAGTAACCCTTTGTTTGTGACACTGTGGCTTATAATCTACTGTTCTACAGTAGTAATAACAACGCTATTTTTACGTACATTAGCGCAAAGCAAAACGATGTAAAAAAATGAATTCTAGGTTAAAAATGCTCAAGGGTTGGAGAAAAAAAATATTGTTTTTTATCATTCTCACATCCAAGTGAAATTAATTCTTTTCTTTACATATCGTCGACTGTCCTTTCTATTTATTTAATCTACATAAGACATAAATCTTTCTTTTTTATACTTGTGCAAATAATTGGTTATCGTACAAAACAATTTTAATTTGGAATATTCCACCGGGGGTAGTAATTTCATCCTACACACGATTATTTCGCTAAATAAATTTAAAGTATTCAAGAGTCATTCTAAACAAGATGTGACTTATTTATTTACTTATTCTCGGTTTATTTATGAGCTCATAAATATAGCTTGATATAGATATATAGCTTAAAATAAGTACAATTCCTTCTAATAATTTGTATGAACTGGAAATACCAGGGTAAAATCAGCTCAAGCAATTGAGATTACACTGTCGGCACAGAACTTCGTCGAATTTGTTCAGTGAACCAAAATTTTTTACCCGAAACAATTCGGAACAACCAATGAAATCGTGAAACTGCAGACGGTTTGGTAGGAAGGAAGTAAAGTGAGCACAGCTATCGAAGTAATATAGTAAAAGAAAGTTTATAGTCCGACGTACTCGTTTATAGATCGCATAAAATTTGATATCAGATCGTAGGGAATATGTTTTACAAGCTTCGTTACATTACTTCAGTTTTAACGATAGGATCGATGGTGTGCGCTTCTCTGCTGCTTCAAGATGTTATACGGTCGAACGTATTGAAAAAAATCGTAAACATCCCTCATTCGAATAAACAATCTTCTCGTTCTTAAATTGCTACAAATACAAAGAACGAATTATTTTATTGCATATTACATATAGAGGTCGCTTTAGCCGATCATAAAGCAATTCTTCATCTTGGCATATTAGAATAACGAATTTATGAAAACTATATTATGAGTCAAAATGACCCTACATTCGTTTGTAGGGTGCAGAGACACGTGCATCATTAAAAAGGAAGTTTTCAAGGTGTCAAAAGTCATTGAAGGTAAATGCAAAATCAATATTAGAAGTCAATGACAAACAGAACTGTAGAGACGAACAAATTTCATTTCTATGTCAATTGTGTCTTAATTTGAGTTTACTACTACTACTACTACTACATATTGACCTCTGACCTCTTGCATTATCAAAGTGATTTGAAATTGTGTTCGAAAATAGTTAATTTCGTTGAAAAATGTACATCCTTCGTGTTCTTACCTTAACTATCTACAAATTCTAAATTCAATTCTACATATTAATTATATAAGAACTGTGCTCCTTTATTTATACGATATCTTGTCTCGATTAGTTCTCTCACAAACCAATATCGTTGATTTAACCCCTTGCCCTACGATTTAAGTTTTAATAACGTGTATCGCAAACAACAAGGTCGGTCACGCGCCGAGTCTTTTCACGGTTACTCGAAACGTCTGAAGTTGTGCAAATCGCACACGCTTACGGAATATAAATACAGTTAATATNTCAAGAGTCATTCTAAACAAGATGTGACTTATTTATTTACTTATTCTCGGTTTATTTATGAGCTCATAAATATAGCTTGATATAGATATATAGCTTAAAATAAGTACAATTCCTTCTAATAATTTGTATGAACTGGAAATACCAGGGTAAAATCAGCTCAAGCAATTGAGATTACACTGTCGGCACAGAACTTCGTCGAATTTGTTCAGTGAACCAAAATTTTTTACCCGAAACAATTCGGAACAACCAATGAAATCGTGAAACTGCAGACGGTTTGGTAGGAAGGAAGTAAAGTGAGCACAGCTATCGAAGTAATATAGTAAAAGAAAGTTTATAGTCCGACGTACTCGTTTATAGATCGCATAAAATTTGATATCAGATCGTAGGGAATATGTTTTACAAGCTTCGTTACATTACTTCAGTTTTAACGATAGGATCGATGGTGTGCGCTTCTCTGCTGCTTCAAGATGTTATACGGTCGAACGTATTGAAAAAAATCGTAAACATCCCTCATTCGAATAAACAATCTTCTCGTTCTTAAATTGCTACAAATACAAAGAACGAATTATTTTATTGCATATTACATATAGAGGTCGCTTTAGCCGATCATAAAGCAATTCTTCATCTTGGCATATTAGAATAACGAATTTATGAAAACTATATTATGAGTCAAAATGACCCTACATTCGTTTGTAGGGTGCAGAGACACGTGCATCATTAAAAAGGAAGTTTTCAAGGTGTCAAAAGTCATTGAAGGTAAATGCAAAATCAATATTAGAAGTCAATGACAAACAGAACTGTAGAGACGAACAAATTTCATTTCTATGTCAATTGTGTCTTAATTTGAGTTTACTACTACTACTACTACTACATATTGACCTCTGACCTCTTGCATTATCAAAGTGATTTGAAATTGTGTTCGAAAATAGTTAATTTCGTTGAAAAATGTACATCCTTCGTGTTCTTACCTTAACTATCTACAAATTCTAAATTCAATTCTACATATTAATTATATAAGAACTGTGCTCCTTTATTTATACGATATCTTGTCTCGATTAGTTCTCTCACAAACCAATATCGTTGATTTAACCCCTTGCCCTACGATTTAAGTTTTAATAACGTGTATCGCAAACAACAAGGTCGGTCACGCGCCGAGTCTTTTCACGGTTACTCGAAACGTCTGAAGTTGTGCAAATCGCACACGCTTACGGAATATAAATACAGTTAATATTCGGACACTTTTCAAAACGCAATAACTTTTTTAGAACTGGACTAAACAACTTGAGTTCTTATTAGATGATAAAGCGATGAGTCTACTATGCCATAACTAGAATGCTTTTTTTAACTCTTTTATCTAAGCCTATAACGAAAGTTTAAAAAATGTGTTTTATAGATCTCGATAAGTTATATCCATGTTAAAATTTTCACCGAAATCGGTTAACCTTCGTATGAGCTGTAAACAATTAAAGATTAGCACGCGTCAAGCTGGTTCCTGCACCACCTCCTTTAGCTACTGATAAAACAATTAAATGACGAAAAACAAAAAAACCCAAAGCACGTATCCTTTATTCCAACACGAGCCTAATTAGTTATGTTTATATTTGGCTCGACTGACGTACCACGACTTTCATTTCTGGCCCGATTATCTTACCACGTCTCTCAGACGTGATAATCATTTGTGGCTCGATTATCTGACCACGTCTCTCAGACGTGGTTGAGGGGCAAAGGGTTAAATGTTCAAATATCTTTGCTCACTCTTTTATCTTTTTGTTTTATATTAGCCTAAATTTGTTCGGTTAAATGATGCCTGATTGTTGGTTCATAAATCTGAACCAACAATCCACAGCAGACCTACACAATTTTGGAGCTTCGTTCTGAATTTCAATAATATCTCCTCTCATGGCTCACTATGAAACTTCAACAATTCCCAAGCGAATAATCAATCTATTCTAATGGACTTTTGCTAATTACTTTAGCTTGATATATGTACGTAC